TTATGACTGAGACTTGTAGGGAGGAGACGGGTCGTTGAACAGCGGCTGCGGCTTGCTGTTCCGCTGCTGCTGCGGGTGCGGCGGGTTGTGGGGCTGTGTGGGGAGGCGCGGGAAGCCCGGCGGCAGGGCCCCCGCACCCGCGTCCGCGCCGCCCAGCCCCGTCTCGAAGGCCGCCGACGGAGGCAGGTGCGGCAGGTGGGCGCCGGGCTGGTTGAGGTACGTCACCACCCGCCGCAGCTCCTCGATGGCGTTGGACTGCATGAGGATGTAGTTCTTGGCGAGGAGCAGGGTGGCGATCTTGGAGAGCTTCCTGACGGAGGGAGAGTGAGCGTACGGGATGACAGCGCGCAGGTCGTCCAGTGCGTCGTTCAGGTCGTGCATTCGTCGCCGCTCGCGTGCATTAATAGAAAGTCTCACGTGTTTTTGCTGTCGCACTTTCTTGCCCCCGGGCCCGAGGGACTCGCGCGGCCCGCCCCCGGGGCCACTACGCGCGCCGTCGTCGTCGCTGCAAGAACCGCCTGTGCCATCGTCACGATGGTCGCGCTCCTCCTTGACCGCGGTGGGCGTGACGCAGCCGCCGCCGCCGCCCGCCGGGTCTTGGTTCTCGATGTTGCCGCCCATCGAGTGGTCGAGCGCTTGCAGGCCCGCCAGCTCCCGCGGGACCGACACCGCCTCGTCGCGGCCGCCCGCCACGCCCATGTCTCGCGACAGGTCCCGCGCGACCACCTGGCCCCGGGACAGCCCCAGCAGGTCACTTCGCAGGAGCTGCATCGAGTCCTGGGCAGACGGGTGGTCGTCCCGAACGGGCGCGTGGTGGGCGGCGTCGCGCTGGTAGAAGGGGTTGGGCACGTGCGGGTCCTGGTCCGGGCGGCGGCCGGGGTTCAGCTGGGGGGCGTGGCGCATGTCGCCGCCCATGAGATGCTGCACGCCCAGCATGGCCGGGTAGGGGAAGGCGCTCATCATGTCTGTGGGCAGAAGAAACAACAACTAGTACCTTATGTCTACTGATGACACCACGCATGGCATGGAACCCCACGAGGACCGGGTCATCCCCGCGTGCGAAGATGTACTGGCATAACTTGTATATCTAGCCGTAACAGTCACGAAAATAAAACTAACTGTTACAACTTCTTATATAAAACTACTGAAACTAAGAATTATGTCTAAAGCATGCTCTCAAATAGACAAGTTTCATACATCTTGTCGCAATATGGTTCATATGAAGGGGAGACTTTACATCACACAATCTAGAGTTAGGTTTTAAGCATAGCAAATAATGTTAGTTTTTAACCTTATTAAGTAACCGAACGTCGAGATTCGTAAACACAGTCTCTTTTACATAGAAGAAGAATCGTCTCTTCACCATGTGGCAAGATCATTTGATGCATTTAATGTCAACGAGTCACCGCCACGACAGAACACAAGCCGTAATGAGTGTTATGTAATTAGAGACACCTAAATAAAACTGAAAGACCACAGAAATATACTTACCTTCGAGTTTGCAGTGGCAGTGCCCAATGACGTCAGAAACAGGCGTCGCAAGAGCTCTGGCGAAGCGGCAGGAAGGAGCCCCGAGCTAAGTCACAGTCTCAGAGACATCGCAGACGCAGGGGCTGCAGACTCTTATTTCCTCGATTGTCACTTGAGATCCTGAAGCACAGACACTCGTTGCCGGCGATGGCAGAGTCACTCGTCACTTAAAAGGTCCTTTCGCACGCGTCGTATCGTCACGTGTTGGCGGTAATTAACAGCAGCAGGTATTGCCAAGGTCGTCACGTATCACCGCACATTTGCGTCGTGGGCACCAGACACTGTGAGTGATGGACACCAATGATCGCCCGAGAGTCTGGCGCTGACGCCTCCCAATCTGTCTGCAACGAAGAGCACCTCCCGAGCACACAGCCCGACTGTTTTTGTTCTAAGCCGCCAATCACAGGCGGTAGTCGCGAAAGTAAGCGACGTCGGTGGATCTCGTACGGACCAATAGCGAGCTGCGTGGGTTCTACGTCACGTCGCTCCGCCCCATCCCTCCGTGAACTCATTCTGTGGTTGGCCGGATAATGATCTGCTCCACCAATCATGGGCATTGACGCTCGCGGCCAGGCAGTGCATCTGATATGACAGATGACAAGGAGGTATACGTGCTTCCCAATTTTACTTCTGCAATTTTAACACATAACAGCTTATTCTTTTCATGGATCTTCCATTACAAAAGAAATCTCTCTTCACCGATGCCCCCTTAACAAAAAACGAACCCACCTATCTCAAGTAATAAAGCCACGATACAGCTATGATTGAAACCACAATAAAATGATGAACCCCTCTTATGGCAGCATCGGGCGCACGGAAATGTTAGGCTCCATAATTTGGTAGATTGACTGCGGTTTGTTGAGCGCCTCCGACCACCCATTTGCGACGGCTATTGTATCCCAAATTTATATCAGGTCACGAAATGTTTTCACGGATATGACACAGTCTCGCCTTTATGGACAATTCCGAG